CTTGCGTGTTGAGTCCCACAATGCCACCCCCCAAAAATTCACACTTCACACATCAATTTTTGTTTAAGGTTTTTGGCATAATTTTGGCCACAACTTTATTCAAAATACAAAAAATGTGAGTGGTTGCTTAGGCATTGGTTATGACTATCTGTCCTTGCCCTCAGGGACAGAGCTGGATTCCGGATTCCAGCGGAAGCCAGCGTGGGAAACAAGTATTGGGTGAGAAAATGAAGCTGGGCATCAGTCTCACACTTCTCACCCTCATGTTCCGGTGGGGCTTGCACGGCCCAAGTCCGATTCCAGGGACAAGGACGAAAAGAATGGCAAGCCCCTGGATTCCTTTAACGGAATTCCCTTTCCGCATCATTTGGAGGGATAGGCACTTACCCCTCCAAGCACCAATTTAACCAATGCCTAACCGCCAACCTTACAAGTTGTGACGATTTGCTACGCAGTAGGCAAAAACCAAATGGCACCAGCCAATCAGCCAGATGGCAAAATTCCTACCAGGCCCCCGCTCCAAGGCGGACGACCCCATGACAGGCATAGCAAGGTCAAGCGATCAAGAAAAAACCACCCTATTAAAGGGAGGGAGGGCGGGTGATCCGGTGCAAAACGGCCAAGAGGACGTCCAACGTCTGGCCCCTGTATTTAAAGACTCTGACCCCTCCTCCAAATTGGCAACAATCAAAACTCCCCAGCAACCCAATTTTAACCACTTAAAGGCTTGGGTTCCTCACAAAATCTGCCCAGTAACGGCAGGGTGGCTTGTTCCCCCAACCGCAACACGTGCTCTCTGTTAGGGAGAACACGCTTTGCGTGTTGAGTCCCACAATGCCACCCCCCAAAATTCACACTTCACACATCAATTTTTGTTTAAGGTTTTGGCATAATTTTGGCCACAACTTTATTCAAAATACAAAAATGTGAGTGGTTGCTTAGGCATTGGTTATGACTATCTGTCCTTGCCCCAGGGACAGAGCTGACTTCCGGATTCCAGCGGAAGCCAGCGTGGGAAACAAGTATTGGGTGAGAAAATGAAGCTGGGCATCAGTCTCACACTTCTCACCCTCATGTTCCGGTGGGGCTTGCACGGCCCAAGTCCGATTCCAGGGACAAGGACGAAAAGAATGGCAAGCCCCTGGATTCCTTTAACGGAATTCCCTTTCCGCATCATTTGGAGGGATAGGCACTTACCCCTCCAAGCACCAATTTAACCAATGCCTAACCGCCATGGAGCCCACAGCTCACCGCCAAACCACTCACAGACCCAACCAAGCCCTCAGCTTGGCCACCACTGCACCCAGCCAAGCCTCATTCCCTGAGGCAGAAAGATGCGCGCCATCAGCTCTGAAAAAGGATGCAGCCTGAAAAAGAATCTCAGGATGGGAAATCACATCTCCACCCAGCTCAAAAATCTTTTTAGACACAGCAGAATTGATGCGCTTCCTGGCCCTTTCAGTGGCAGCTGGGCAACGACTACCCTCCCAAACACGTCGTTGCAAAAGCTTTGACCAAAATATTTTTGCTGTTGGCACCACTGCCCGCAGCTTCTCCAGGTCACCCAAAATTGCAGCACGTAGTGAAAAAACAGTCCATGGAAACCAGGTCGGTCTCACCCAGCTGCACCCCAACAGCAGTGGGCGGCCCTTCCAGCAGCACCTGCCTCCGAATCAGCGGCAGGAATTCTGGCTGGCGCAGTCCCCGTCTGGACAGCCAAAGCAACTGCACATGTGGAGGAAGGCCGAGACCCGGTCCCAAACCGGACTGCCGTGCACTGATGCTGTGCCCCACCATCCAGATGCGGACAGCTGCTAAACCTAAGATAAAACAAGCAAAAATTGTAAGACACCAATAATGTTAACGAACATAACCTTTGAATGCATTCGATTTCCAATGACCTGTATTTTATTTCCACTGCCTTATTAACACGCTTTCCGGCCTTCTCGGTGGTAGTTTGTCTAGGCATTGGTTCCTGACTAGCTGCACCTGACCTCAGCAGGGCAGCACTGACGACTGGGCCCCACCATATCGTCAGTACCAGCAAACATTGTGGGGGAGCAATGAATCCCAAGGCAATCGCATCCCGCCAGGTGTCGTTCCCCATAGGGGAAAGATGCACCCCATCTGCCCTAAAGAGAGCAAGAGCCTTGAAGAAAAATAGCAGGGTGCAATATTACAGAACCACCTAAAGCAAGGACCTATTTTATTTTATTTGTTATTTTATTTTATTTACTTTATTTATTTTATTCTATTGTCCACCGCCTTATTAACATGCTTTCTGGCCTGCTCGGTGGTAGTTTGTCTAGGCATTGGTTCCTGACTGGCTGCACCTGACCTCAGCAGGGCAGCACTGACGACTGGGCCCCACCATATCGTCAGTACCAGTAACAGCGTGGGGGAGCAATGAACCAGGATCAGACTCAAGCTCACCCCCAAATGCTCCCAGGGACTCTTGCATGCCCCTACCCCTCGAAAGGGGTCGACAAAAGCATGGTGAATCCTTTTGCGCATTGGAGGGGACAGGTGCTCCAACCCCCCCTCCAGACCACCTTGAACCAATGCCTTAAATTATTTTGAGTCCTGGGAGAGCTGCCATCAACTCAATCCAAGCCCTCTTGCATGCAGGAATGCAAACTTATGCTGGAGGAAGACGGCAAGTCATTCTCGTCCAGCTGCACCACTAGCACTGCGGGAGGACCTGCACAGGTCACACTCGACCGCACCAAAGGAAGGATCTCCTCCCAAAGCATTCCCATCTGGACATCCAGTATATGTTCACATGGGCAGGAAGACTGAGATGGCGCCCCAGTCCAAACTCGTCAACCTGCTTGCCAGCCTAGTGTACAATGCTGTGGCCCAAATGTGCACAGCTGCTCCTATGAAAAAGGAAATAACAGACAAGCATCAGCACAGACATCATTGTGACACTTCCTGATATAACCCTTGTCAGCGTCAGACTTCCAATGACCCGTATTCACAATCCTGTCTACTGACAGGCCCCCAGTGTGCAGCCTTTGCAGCAGCACCCAATCGTAAGGAATGAGGCGTGTTCAGCGGTAAGCAAGCCGCAGGCCGTAATAACTGGTGCACGACGTAAGCACATTGATGCCTGGCTAACGGGAACCCATTTTCATGCACTAGGAGCGGGCCAGCCCCCAGGGAATGAAAAGCCAAATATTCTGTTATCCATAACCAGGCAAGGGCCCTCCTCAACTGTGGCGGGAAGCCTGATTGTGGCACTCCTGCCCACTAAGTCTGTTTTAGAGTTCCCAACTCTAATGACAAGCTCCAAAGGATAAGGAAAAGTCCTGAAGCAATAAGCCTCCAGACTCTCAGCCCCATGCTGGCTCCAACAACCATTTTCCCAAGCCTCAGTGCGAAAATGCAGTGGACTACTGAAAGGAGTCTCGCCTTGATCTTTAACCAGCAGACAAGTTTTAACTTGTTGCAGATACTGCATAGGTAAAAATTGACCAGCTTCCTGCCCACTGTCCTATGAGGTTGGAGCCTATTCCAACCTTCCAAGGCCATGCGCACTACAAACTTTATACAAGGGTCTCTGAAAAATAAAGCTTCAGTGTAACAGACATTGCAGCGGACTGAATTCTGATAGTTATAACGCACGCCCAATCTGCAGCAGGTGGACCAAATACTGCGGATCTGCTCAGAGGATGGGGGCCAGTTCATCTGAATGGCCGAGGACTGCCAGCTTAAGGCTAAGAAATCCATCCAGGCCTTCCCATAAGAGCTAAAAGCAGAAGGGGAAATGGAAGCTGCTGCTCTCTGTAATTACTAATTGTTGTCAAAATGCCACAGGTGGTCTGGAAAAGTCTGGCAATAGCTGAGTCTGGAGCCCAGGATCTGAAGCACTTCATCTGAAAATGGGATAGAGTGTCAGCGACATCATTAGAGGATCCTGTAATTTGGAGAGTAGACAGCACAATATTAAACCTTAAGCGGCGCAGCTCGAAAGCATGAACGGAGGGGCGGAGACTGTGCTAGAGCGTGAGGACTGTTTTGCTAAGACGCTCACCACTACCTGGTTATCAGACCAAAAGCAGATCCAATGGTCACTGAACTCCTCGGGCCACATGTGAACTGCTACTACAATGGGGAAAACTCAAGAAAAGTTATGTCACATGATTGCCTCACCACACCGGGCTTGAGGCCATAGCTTTGCACACCAGCATCCCTTGAAATAAAAACCAAAGGGCAAAGATCCAGCAGCACCAGCATGAACCTGAAAATCCCTGTGCGGGTTCAAGGTATCCTGCCATGGCGAACTCCAGAGAAGCGGACACGGAGCAATGGATCCAAACTACAAGAAAGAAGATTCCACCTAAACATAAGGAAGAACTTCCTGACAGTAAGAGCTGTTCGACAGTGGAATTTGCTGCCAAGGAGTGTGGTGGAGTCTCCTTCTTTGGAGGTCTTTAAGCAGAGGCTTGACAACCATATGTCAGGAGTGCTCTGATGGTGTTTCCTGCTTGGCAGGGGGTTGGACTCGATGGCCCTTGTGGTCTCTTCCAACTCTGTGATTCTATGATTCTATGATTCTACTATTGCATACATTCAGGAATTGCTACCATCGCCTGATATCTGCCTTCACCACACTTGGTAGGCGTACACAAAGGTAAGGGGACCTCAGGCCGCAGGCAGCCTGGCCTAGTGGGAAGATTAATTAAGAGACCCAGCAAGATCGGATCTGATGAAGCATCACTTGCTACAGAGGAAGTATTACAAAATAACTTCCTTCAAGGCAGACAGCTTCTCCATAGGCAAGTGGTATGTTTTAGCAACGATATCCAACTGGATCCCTAAATAAAATGGGAATATGGGCAAAAGGTATTGAGCTATTGCTTGCCAGCTTCCAGCCCCCGCTTGGGCAGGGGGCATCTTGTGCTGCCATCATGATATGTAAATTTACAGGGCCGAGGCTGGCCAGAACCCTTAAAGAAGTCCCGACAAAGCTGCCGCCGAGCCAGCTTCCTTTTCAGACACACACTCTGTGCAATGCAAAAACACACTCCATGCAGTGCACACACACTCCATGCAATGCAACTACACACTCCGTGCAATGCAACTACACACTCCGTGCACTGCACACACAAACCCTCCGTGCAATGCAACTACACACTCCGTGCAATGCACACACAAACCCTCCGTGCAATGCAACTACACACTCCGTTCAATGCAAAACACACTCCCTGCAATGCAACTACACTCCATGCAATGCAACTACACACTCCGTGCAATGCAACTACACACTCCGTGCAATGCACACACACTCCATGCAATGCAACTACAATCCGTGCAATGCAACTACACACTCCGTGCAATGCAACTACACACTCCGTTCAATACAACTACACACTCCGTGCAATGCAAAAGCACACTCCATGCAATGCAACTACACTCCGTGCAATGCAACTACACCCTCCATGCAATGCATACACACACACTCCGTGCAATGCAACTACACACTCCGTGCAATGCACACACACTCCGTGCAATGCAACCACACCTTCCGTACAATGCAACAACACCCTCCGTGCAATGCAACTACACCCTCCGTGCAATGCACACACACCCTCCATGCAATGCACACACGCTCCGTGCAATGCAACTGCAAATCTCTCATGCAATGCAATGCAATTGCAGCCCGTGCAGCGCCGTGCCCTGCAACACACAAACTGCAATGCGGGCACGCAAAGGTGCTTTCTCCCGCTTGCATATTGCAAACGTGGCGCCCGTTACATCCCTCGCAGTGAGGTAACCACCAAAAGGACTTAAGTGTCCAGGTAGAGCAATGGGGGGCATGCAGCTGTCCCATACAGGGACCAATCCTGCAACCCAGGCATTACCAGCACTATGCGCTGACCCAGTGAAACCAATGCTTCATGGACCACATGGGGACACTATTCAGGCCGGAAACGCTTCCAGGCCATTGAATTCTAGGGCAAAGCCCTAGGATCACCTGCTAGGCCAGGCATAAATGTTTCCAGTGAAATAGCAGAGTTGAGGTAGCCCACAGCTTGTCCAGGTACCCCTGCTTGCCCTTTTAGAGGGAAGCACCCCTTCAAGAAACCCAAAGTTCTTTTATCACAAACGGGCCTAACTACCCAGCAACAGAATAGCCCAAAAGGAGCAGTTTGTTTTGTTTTGTTATAACAATGGCTAAGAGGGGGATATGAACCCTGTCTCCCAGGTCCTAGTCCTACACTTTAGCCACTAAGCCACAATGGCTCATCTCTAAAATGGCAGTCGCCACTATCAGGGCAAAACAAACTTAAAGAAAATAAACTTGTTCAGAAACAGCATAGTTCAAGAGCATACACAGAGTGCTCATAGTCCTTGGAGGCACAGAGAGCCTCTGGGGCCCTCTGTCTGCCTCAGATATACATTAGCAGCAACTGGGCCTGCAAGCAGATACATTCCTATAGCGAGAATGAGTCACGTGTCAGAGACTTAACAATTAACTGCTACCTGTAGCAGACTTAGGCTTGGAAGTTATGTGCAGGCCGAATAGGCCTCCCTGCTTCTGCTCTTGAGAATCTTAGTCTCATAGCAATATTAAAGGAACTCAAATTAGTGCTCCCACCCAAGGCTAGCTTAAAATTTGGCCAACAGCACTGCACACACTCAAAATTAAGCCAACCTTTGGGGATACTATAAACGAAAGTGATTCCAGCTAAGCTGGGAACAGCCCTGACTAGCCCCACAATTTCAACAAGAGAAATGGGGCAAACCTTTTTGCGAAAGAAAGCCCCTAACGGGGGCTCTCTCCCTATTGGGAAAGGCAAGCCACAGTTACAGGGAGAATCTTCCCACAGGGCAGGGTAAGGGGTGGGGTGGGAAATCGAACAGGAAAAGGGGGGAATTAAATTATTTAAGGGACTAGAGAGGATTAAAAAGAAAGGGGAAATAAAGAAATAAAGAAATGTAACCAGACAATGAGAAGATTGTCCAAGCGCTCCATGTGATCCGGTGCAAAACGGCCAAGAGGACGTCCAACGTCTGGCCCCTGTATTTAAAGACTCTGACCCCTCCTCCAAATTGGCAACAATCAAAACTCCCCAGCAACCCAATTTTAACCACTTAAAGGCTTGGGTTCCTCACAAAATCTGCCCAGTAACGGCAGGGTGGCTTGTTCCCCCAACCGCAACACGTGCTCTCTGTT